GCGTGATATGCAGGGTCCGCACAGAGCTGGGCCATGTGCCCCCACAACTGTTGGGGGCTGCCACACTCCCCGCGGTGCCTGGCCAGGCTAGAGGTGTTGGTGCCTTACTTGGAGCCCCAGAGCAAGGATGAGGAGGTGGCACATGCCGGCTGTGCTGAGGTGGAAGCTGACTGGCTGCCCATCTCCTTTGGGAAGTGTGATGTAGGCTAAGCCACAGATGAGCACCATGGACCTGTACCAGTGCAGGGGAAAGCAGGCACTCAGGGCCTTCCAGAAGCTGCCGTGATACCTGGATTGGAGAGGAAAACAGGAGACAAGCTGGCGGCCGCCCGCCTGCCATCCCCATCTGCAGTCCATGGGGCACGGGCCAGTGCTGCCGACCTTTTGGAGCAGCATGGAGCCAGAGAGCCCTGTGGGACCCCGCTCAGTGCAGCTTGGGTCTCTTGCAGCACCCATGGGTCTCAGAGGGGAGCAGATGCAATGTTGCTCTAGACAGCCCGGGGAGATTATCTCAAACAGCCCCATGCCCTCTGGCACTGGGCAGCGGAGGAAGGCTGGGGTCTGAGATCTGCTCCCAGATAAAGGGTGCACTAGGGAGCTACCACAGAGAAGAGACATCCATAGAAAAACCAGGGAGCTGGGCAGGCAGGAGAAGGGAGAGCAGGAGGAGCTGAGAAAGGTACAAGGCTGATGGAGAGCAGCATGTGCTGCTGGGGCACAGCAGAGCATTGCTACAGAGGGCATGCATGGGGGTAGAAACAAGGAGCAGGTTCCCCCCCGACACCAAGAGGCTTCCAGGCTCTTGTCCCCAGGGTGGTCCCAGGAACCTGGGAGACAGCCTCCCCCATGCTGGCTCACCTGGATTGGAGGTGGAAGATCTCCTCAGCCAGGTAGCAGGTGCCCTTGAGCAGCACCCCGATCTGCAGTGCCACAAAGTGGGATGTGAGGCCATGGGCGATAAGCATGAGGGGCTCGCTGGCGAGGTACAGCGCTGCAGCACATAGAGCCAGGAGCAGGTACGTGGCACGCTGTGCTCGACCTCCCCGGGCTTTGGGGATGAGCTGGGGGGTGGGTTCTCTTGGCCGCCCCAAATCCTGAGACATCTGCAGCAGAGAGGGAAGGTCAGCAGCAATTGTTGTCCCCAGCACCCACAGCAATCCTGTGAGGAGTGAAGTGGGGAACACGTGCACATCAGAGCTCACTGAGCATCCCAAAGCATGTGACAGAGCTGTCCCTTCCTCTGCATGCTGCTGCAACAGCTTCTGGGGAGCTTCCCTTGTGCTGCATGGGCCACCTCAGGGGTGGCCCCTGTGCCCAAATGGGCTCAACAAGACAGAGCCTGGCTGGCCACCCCGCTCCCAAATCACTGCCAACCCTACCCCAGCCCTCCCTGCTCCGCAGCCTCTGAGCCATCACTCCTTTTGCCACACTCACCGGAGCAGTTACCAGATGTGGGACCGGACGCTACCTGGGTTTCCTGCCCTGCAGATAACAGGCTCTGTGCTCCAGCCTCTGCTGCTCCGGCTCTTTTTGGAGACTGCTGCTACAGAAACCCAGAGCCCCTGGACCGTACAGGCTTCTGGTGCCACCGGTGGAGCTGCACAGATCCCAGCACCAAGGAAAATGAAAGTGAAAGGAGCTATTGTAGCTGCAGGCAGCTTGCAGAAAGCACCAGAGCCCTCCCACACAAGGCAGCCGTAAGGTCTCCAGGCACTGGGTAATGCTGGGTCGATGTTGCAGATTTCATGAGCTTACACCTCTGGAATGCCCCAAGGTTTTTGTCATGTCATAGCAGGGTGGAGATGAGCTGATATGAGGAAGGAAACCAGAATTTATTGAGATTTAATTTATTAAGTGCGGTAGATTTCAAAGACTGAATTTATTAAGTGCAGTGGGTTTCCAGGGGCAGAACAGAAGCAAATTCCTTCTAACAGAGAGGGTGACTCCCAGTACCCCGGATTCCCCACCCCACACAACTCCAGGAGATGCTGACTCAGGAGGCACTGGCAACACAGCAGGGGATTCCTGCAACCAGGCTTTTGCTGGACAGTGAGGCCCTCAAGCCTCTCAGGTCCCTGGTCCTAGTGACCACAGACCCAAAGCAGCCGAGGTGCAAAGCCACCTTTGATGCACTTATTGCTGAGGTTTGCCCTCAAGCCTCCCTGATCCTAGCAGCAGGGTCTGCAGCGGTGAGGCATTACCCATCCTAGAGGAAGATCGACTTAGGGCACAAATACACAAGCCCATAGGACCAGGTGGGACGCTCTTGAGGATGCTGAGGCTGCTGGCTGAACCATGGCAAGGCACCTCTCTGATCTCTTTGGAAGATTGTAGCAATCAGGAGGTTCCTGATAAGTAGGAGAAGGCAAACATCACACATAACTTTGAGCAGAGCAAGAAACAGAATCGTTTGGTTGGAAAAGGCCTTCGAGATCATCGAGTCCAACCTTACCTGTCCACTACTAAACCATATCTCTGAGCACCTCATCTACCCATCATTTAAGTACCTCCAGGGATGGTGACTCAACCACCAAGAAAGAGGGCTTGGTGAATTACAACCTGCCCAAAGTCACCTCTGTTCCTGGGAAGGTGATGGAGCAAATCCTCCTACAAGCACTGACAAGCAGCTGAAGGACAAGAAGGGAATAGCCATGAGGGATTTATGATGGGCACATTGTGCCTGACCAGCCTGAGTGCTTTATGACATGAGAAATGTCCATGTGAATGAGGGGAGAACCTTCGCTTCATCAAACCTTTCAGCATGGTCTCCCACGGCCTCTGTGTAGCCAAACTGGGTAGATACAGGCTGGGTAAAGGGGTGACTACCCAGAACCTGCTCTGGGTCCAATTGCTTTCTGTCCAGGAAT